CGCTTGTCCACCAATTATACTAAAGTTACACTGCGTTTTAGTTTTTTCATCTAATTTTAATTGGCTATAAGCATATCGGAGGTCAATGGTAGAAAAATATGTTGTACCTGGTTTTCCAGTACCCTCTTGAGCTGATTGTGCCACATTATCGAGCAGGACGTCGATGTTAGGCATCTGGTACTTGTTTTTATGTATCGCTTTGTTGATTTGTTTTGAGTCTATTGCTAATTTTATTGAATAATCTTTCTTGACCGTTATTACGATTGGACTAATAAATTGTTTGTCGCTACAGCTGTCGAGTTTCATGATATGGCCTTGGTCTATCAAGGATTTTAGTTCTTGTTCAACCTTTTCTTGAATATGAATCGGGATCCGGCGTCCTTTTTGTTGCAGTGCTTTGAAGTCATGTAGGAATTTGGTATGAACTACGTGGTTTTTTGACCAACCAATGCGTGTGCACAACCCCGGGTATGTTGATTTAACCCAATTTGTGATGGCCGTGTCCGATTGATATGGTTCTGTAATGTAATTGATTGACTTACCAGTTGGTTTTTCTTGTTGAAGATGAATGCCTAGTTGTGGTAGCAAATTTCGACCCAAGATCTTTGCCCGTTTATCATCCAGCACCACAAATGGCGCCGTGTTGATTGTCCACCCTCCTGATTCTATAGGGGCAATCAGCCTGCCGAACGCGGGAATTTTGTAACCATTGTAGCATACCATTCTATTAGCCTCGTCATTTTGATTGAGTTGAATACGACGAGCTCGTGGCACCGTATTTTCCAAAATGGCCGCTGTTTTGTTATTTACAAACGATGTTGGAGATCCTGTGTCTGCAATGAAGGTAATATTGTGTTTCCCAATTCTGACTCGGATGAGATGTCCTATTAAGTCGTTTGTTGATAAATTTCCTGCCGTTTCCTCTTCGAAATGTACAGCATTTACGCTATTGTCCTCTGGATGTATGAGCTCCCACCCCGGAGCGACGTCCCCTGCTTGGAGGTAGTCAACATACGCCGCTATGTCGGTGTCCTGGATGTTTACTTCGGGATTTGTTTCTTCACTGATAGCATTAACGTTTGGGGAATTACAGAGTCTTGCGTAGTGTCCTCGTTTTGTGCATTTATTGCAAATCTTGTCCTTTGCTGGACATTGTTGAAGGTGACCGGGTCCGAACGGATTACCACACTTAAAACAAGATTGTTTCCTGTCTCTATCTGGTCGTTGCGAGCTTCCCCGCTGTGATTGTCCTCGACCTCTGTTGTTACCTCTTCTGTTGTTACGGTAAGGGTCCCCACCTCGTCTTTGGATGAACCCAACTGGTTCGGTTTTTATGCCCGTCTGTTGAGAAGGAAATGACGATGAACCCTGCTTGCGGATTTGGATTTGGTTTTCCAGTCCCTTTTCCCTGCGTATTGCATATTCGAACGCTTGCTCCGGGGTTTTGGTCTCAGCTAGTAAATCTTTTTGTACTTCATCATTTGTCATATTTGCTGTGAATAAGTCTCGGATAATTTCTGTTTCTAACGTGTTATTGTTGCAATTAGGACATTTGAAATTTCCTTTGATGACTAATTCCGTGAGACCGCAGTGGAACTGTTCCAGTGTTTCTGTTTTATTCTGCTTTCGTGTAAATGCCTCGTATCTGTCAAATGTAACATTATGGTCTTTAATGAAAAGATGTTCCAAACGATCCCAGAATGCTCTTGTTGATATTTCTTGTATCTTTAGGTCTGGGTAGTGTTGGTTCAAGCGTCTCTGACCTTCGTTACCTAGGCTTAGGTATATGTAGCTTCTGACTTTTATGTCGGCTTCCTCCCATGGTATTCCATCCACGGTGGGTCCCAAATTGTCCAATTGGGCACATTGGTTATCCCATTGTATCTTTTTTTCTTGATTACGTATTAACCTGTCCCTGGTTTGTGCTTGAGTTTCCCCTTCTATAGGAAGTTCATAACCAGGTTCGTGCGGTTTTCTTATTGCAGGTGGATCTCGTAACAGCTTTTGTAGGTTTATGCCATCTTTTGCGACAATTCCTAAGTAGAGTTGCTGGTTCCACTTCTCCCACTCTGTTGGCGGTTCCGCCGAGGCTTTTTGCCAGAATGGGGCGATACCTAGTGGGTTTTTTGTTGTGAGTGCTGGCTGCGCCATGTTATACCCTCAGCCGTTAGGTGAGGTATATACTGTGTAATCTCGATAGTCAAAGTCTATGCTTAATCGCTAACTAAGAATTGGAATACGAATAGATTGAGAGCAACTTAAATTCAGTTTAGAAAGTTAAGTCTGATTCGAATCTGACCTCGAAATCATGAGAGAGACAGAGACTCATAAATAACTATTGAATATGGTGTTAGGTTTAATAGGTACTTAATTTAGATCAGACTTCTATATAGTTCAGTTTACATAGTGTTACATAAGTATATATGGTTAGCACTTGGGATGGATGTAATGTTTTAGATAAACATAGTTCTAGTATATCCGAATGGATAACAGTTCATATTGGTATGTACTGTATCCGTATGGATAACACTGTTGAACAAAGAAGGTACACTGAACCAGACGTTGTCTTTGGTTTTGTTTTATTTTAAATTGAGAAAGTGGACCTTTTGTTCTGATATTTATCGAGTTATAACAGAGATATTGGGGCAGGGCATCATATGGTAGTAGATATAAACTTTGTGATAAAGCGAAAACTACAATAATTGATTTAAATTGAGTCTCTGTTTGCATGTCTTCGTTCAACGTTTAAGGCGCCATATGCTCGCTTTTTTGTATGGCTCCATCGAATATGAGTTGTTTTTTTATCTTATTCCCATACTCCAGGTCGGTATGATATGATTGGTAAAATGTGGCCGCTGTTAACATTTTGGCCAAAGAATCACAAAAACGACAACCTTTTTCCCTGGAACAACTTTTTCTTGGCACTCCTTGCCCGATCGTGGCAGTCTAAGAGGGTTTTTTGAAAGCAAGGATCCCAAAAATTTTCTATGTAATAAATTCCAAAACCTCGTTTTTCTGAAAGTGGGTTTTTGTGGGCTATAATCGGACCTAGAGACCAAGTTATGACCTTTTGTAATATTCAGACTGATGATATTATCACTGCACTGTTTTTTGAGGTAATTCATTCCAGTTTGTAACTCTGTATAATTTCATGATTGCAGCTTGTATTCGTCCATTTAGTCAAACTATTTGGATTTCTAGGCGTTCGGTAGATCAATTTTAAAACGGAAAGTTTTTACCGGACCCGAAATAGATTCGTGTGGAGATTTTACTGGAAAGAAAGATTCGTGTGGATTTTTTACTGGGCCCAAAATATGCTCGTTACCGTGAGTCAGTAGTTGAAACGATTTCTGATGCGTAACTTTTGTTTGCCAGTTTTCTGGTAGCTTTATCAAATTTTTTGTTCATTTTGACCAAGATGTATATTCGCCTGGATACTCCAATATTTTGGTGATGTATTGTTTTTGGTTCGAAATCAAAAATGACTTAGATGACGCAGATTAAATTTTTGAGCTCACAACGTCAAAACTAAGTTCTTTCGGAGATTTTCAAAAGAAATAGAAAAGACTTTTTTGTTAAAAGTTTGTGACCAAGAGTTTTTGCTGCTCTTGGTTTTTGGAAAGATTGCTGGATAGGGGACTTAATTGCATTTTTTTTGACAAGAACGAAACAAACGTTTTGAGTGCATTCGTTAGCTTTAATAATATGAAGGTTTTGTAATTTGTCGGTAACATAGCTTTGTTAAATTTTAGGCTTTCTATAACTTGTTTGATGGCTTTTTTATCGATAGTTTACAAGTCTCGATGACGATATTTTTGTTTTTCTCATTTGGACATGGATGTTTTTCAGATTTATTGAACACGGTACACCAGGTTTTTGTTTTGCGAGTACTTACTGTGTTTTACAGTTTGACAATGCTTCTCCATTTAAAAACTGAACCAGTATCGCCGGTTGTCCCCAATTATCTTTCTTTACAAGATCTTTCACTTCCTAGAAGGTCTTTTTTTTCCTTTTGTTGATTCTTGTGATGAATTTGTGAAGATCAGCATTCGATCTTCTTTGCACTCAGAAATTTGCTCTTAAGACTGGGTTGTGTATTAGGTTTTTTTGTGGCTAGACATACAAGAATTGCGGCATAGAAGCTTTGTTTCTCCATGATTATTCATGCCATTTACATCAAGGAGAGTAAGCGCAGTCTATTGAGTTGTCATGTGTAGATTGTACCCACTTGAGATTCAATCATAAGATGGTTCGATTTCCCTGATTGTTCTTCTGCAAGTCTGTGATTTTTTCTTAGCGTTATCGGTCATTTCAGTTTATACTCTCAATTTGAAGTTAGTCCAAAAATTAAAATGCAGAATCGTCTGCAGATGTCTGGGTTTTCCTTTAGTAGGAACTTGACAGCGTTGTCTAGTGAACTGGCACGAAAATAAAACTTGCCACGGGCTACTGTATTGAAAACCTTTACAAAAGTACAGCTTGGCCAGACCCCGGCTTTCAATAAGCAATCAGCGGAAACGATTTAATTAGACAAAACATCCAGCTGCCTTCAGTAATGCAACACCGTGACCTCTCAAAGGCCAGCTTTAATTAACCTCATCCATTTCTGGATGACTTTCTAAAGTTTTCTGAAATTGTTCAGATTTCTTTTTTCACCAGTACTAAATAATTATATGGGGAAGCAAGTTACGTTGTTTTGCAACAATTTTCACAAAACTTTACTTGCACAGAAGTTTTCGGGTTAAATTGGTTTACTTTTTCAAAAAGCTCAAAAACTCAATTATTTTGGTCTTATAAAAACGGTCGACAATTTCCTTGAATTTTTTGAGAAATTGCCCTCCCTCCTCGCTAAAATCAGATTAGTTCTGAATATTTAAGGATTCGATGTTTTTATCTCACGACTGCATTGGAGACTAAGAAGCTAAACGAATCCTGTGTTTGTCCTGTTTCAATCAATTAGAAACTTAAAATTTCATTACAAAGTTTTGTTTGTTTTTCAGACGTTGAGAAATCCACTGTTTACTCTACAACTGAAAGCAGCACAACGATGATAACAACGAAACTGACCACAACTCAGACCACAGCCAAGAGCACCACCACCACTGTCAAAATATCCACAGTCACTCCCTGTGAAGATACTATGGTGGGGGCGGAGCCAGAGGTCAAGGACACGATCAAGAACTGCGGGAAGAGCATGGAAGACAACATCGGGGGAGTCACCGTGGTACTCGCAGGAGCCGCAGAAGTAAGAGGGTTTTCTGTGAAAACGAGCGCATTTGATTCGGATCCTATGGGCTGTAAAATGAGGCTAGCAGCGACATCGGTCGTAGGCAAAAATAGGCAGTTTTGTTTTTTCAAACGATAAATTTTTTGCGAGGAAGATAAATATAGTTTTTATATTTTATTGCTGGAAAATAAATCATAATGTCATGATAGAATTTCGACGTGAAAACTTAACGCTGAGACTGAGCATAGTCGGAAGGTCTGTTTGCGTCTTCGGTGCATGTTTGTAACTTCGTTTTTTTTCTCTTTCACGACAACTTTTCAGCAACATATCAACAGTTGTTGGCATTTTAAAAAATGTTATTTGAATGGGAGCAAAGTCGTTCCAACCTGAAAAATGAAAGTGAAGGCTAAATTTTCAAAATGCATGCTTGCAGGAGCCGGCATACATCGAAGTTGTGCAGTTGAGGGGAATTGAGTCGCCTGACGAGGAGGAAGAAAACGAAGTGATGTTGGCCTTCATCACTTACGTGCCTGGAACTGACGGCGCAGAGAAAGAGATCAAATACGTGGAGTGGAGCGAACAGGATGGAAGATTCGTGGAGAGTCCAATTCCGGTAGGAAAAAGAAACTTGATTTTCAGGCGATTTTAGAAGATCAACATTTATTGAATTAATTTTAAAAAAGGATAGCCGGCTGCTGTGCTAGTAGCACAGAATGATCCAACCACCTCCTTAAAAGGCTACGCACAAAATTTTTTTAAAACTAATTTCAATTTTTTGTGCGTTGTATGATGAAACGATCTGAACGAAAGACTAGATTTTAGGCATATTGGAAAAAAGTTTTAATCGAAAAAATGACTAAATAATAAAAACAAAAAAATATGAAGTTTTTTGAAAAAGTTTCATTGGTTTGCAGAAAGTTTTTGAGGTTTTGAAGTTTTTAGTTCCCAAGATGATGCTAAAAAAAGTTTTTGAAAACTAATTTTACTAGATTTTTTAGGACTGAATGAAAAATTCAAGGCTCATTTACTAATAATCTGCGACTGTACATCGATAAAAAGCCTGCGTACTCGCTTTACTACCTCGAAAGTAGACGAAAAATCACAAATTGCCAACTGGCTTTTATCGACACTGTGATTTCAGTTCGACGATTAATTGTAGTACCTATTTTTGCGTGGAAAAAACTAAAATACACTCGAACACAAAACTCCTCGTTTTCAATGGTCGAACAATAATTATTGATCATTCAAAGAGCATATTTTAATCAAACTATAACTGTTGTAATTGCAAAAAAAAAATTTTGTTGCTGAGATATTAGCAGAGGTAATTCCTTTTGGAAAACCGAACATGAAGACGTTTAACTGCAGGATTCGAACCAGGTTTAAATTTGCTTCAGTCACCATGCATCCGTCTAGAATAGCAAACAAATTTAATTAACCATTACATTGAAAAGATGACAAAATTGAGTATTATATTGAATAATGGCAGGGAACATTCTCTGGCAGTGCATACGACCGCCGTCGGTCAGAGCCAGGTTCGAATCCAAAAAGTGTCGTCTGTATTTAGCCGTCGAATCAGCCAAATCAAATCTACTATCCGATGCTAGTCTTGTACCTTTTTTCAATTTATTTTCTGCAGAATGCTTTTGAAATTGAAATTCGAGCCATATTTGTTTTGAAAATAGACATTCAAATTGTTCGTTGTTAAATGAATACTTCCATTTCATAAGATTTTTACTAAACCAGTTTGTATGAATAGCAAAAAACGTAGACTGATTTTTATTGCATGTTTTTTCCCGGAATTCAAATAACCACTCACAAGAACTTAAAATGAAGGAATGTGTTTGGTACAAAAAAAATGTGTGGGCGACATACATTAAAATGAGAATGAAAAAAATCCATCTTCCCATTGTCCTATGTGTCCTTATACCATTTGTCCCTCTCACTCACTAGTTTATTCTTTCTTTTTTTTCTTTCTTTCTGTATTTCGAATCTTTTTTTTGCTCATATTCCACCTCTTCCGAAAACAACATTTTTTGTCTTGTGAGTGTATATGTTCGTCTCAATCGTGTTTTTTTTCTGTTTGGCCTAACTGTAGGCATTAAATTAGTTTTTCAAGTTATGTTTTTCTTCAAATGTGACGTTATTTCTGATGCTTTTTGTTCCATCTTTTGATGAAAGTGAGAAATATATATGCTTTGGGTGGTTTTGGGTGTTTTTTTTCCAAATCAATTTTCAAAAGACAGTTTTTTTTGCCGGCTCGATATTTTGACCTACGTTGCTGTGGCTGTCTGGTCACTCTGAAACGGGTTTGTCTATATTGCTCGTGTTATTCTTTGATCCTGAAATCGTTCCAAACTGAATTGAGCAAGCCATAGCTAATTTGTCTCATTAGTTTCACATACGACTTTCACATAAATTTACACGCGATAATATCGTGTCTGTACAAAACAGTCCCATACAAAACAGTCCAATACAAAACAGTCCGGAAAAGTATGAAAATGAACAAAAAAACTGTCCGATACAAAACAGGTCGAAAAACAGTCCCAAGTAATAATTGTTTTTACAAGCTGGTAGGTCGAGAATTGTCCTTTGTTCAAAAAACATAAAGAAAAAATTTTAGAGCCGTTTTTCGCCGCGAAGCGGCGACGCGCGCGCCCACCGGCGACCTTAAACCGGAATGTTTTGTATTGGACTGTTTTTCCTTCATTTCATGATTTTTTTTTTTACTAATTTGTACTTGACTGTTTTGTATATGCACCGATATTATCAGCCTGAAACCAGTTAAAGGACAGTCAGAACATTCAGTGTTTTGCTTTGATACGAGCAGGCTTTTTGAGTTTTCGCGCGCCCTTTGTTTTATTGTTCCGACTTTCGATATGAAAGTAACCGAATATTTGTGCTCGGGGCGGGGATTTTTTCTTCAGACAAACTTCGACTTTTTAACTAGCCATTTTTGACAAAAAACTTTTTTATGTCATTCAAAAGTTAATGTTGTCCTGAGCTTGAAGAAGTTGAAAAGATATTTCACTGTGATTATTTTTTGTAAAGTTATGGGGGTTTAAAGATTGCCATTTTGGCCGGTTTGGGACAATCACGCGCGATATATTTCGCGCTATTAACGCGTAAGCGGAGAGTTAATCCGTCTAAGAAATCGTTCCAAATTGGTTGAAAGAAGCTTGTTTGCCATAGTTGTTTTGTTACAAGAAGCGGAATCTATCCTTTTGTACTTCATATGGCGTGCGGGTGATGACTTTCATAAAAATTTTCAGTTCTAGAAGAAAAAAAAAATTTCATTTTGTTTCATTCCGTACAGAAATAAAATAAAAATACAGATATGCCTAGGGTTAATACATTTGTTGTGAGATTGCATATCTGTCCTGATCTGTATCAGACATGTTCAGACCTGGAAGATACAAAAATTTTAATGTTACAGAAAAAAAATAAAAATACAGATATGCCCAGGCCAATCTATTTGTTATGAGATTGCAAATCTGTCCTGAACTACATCAGACATGATCAAATCTGAAAAAAAATTTTTTGAAATTTTCTTATAAATTCACAACTTTTTGTTACGTGTCTTGTTTTTTTTCGTTGAAAATAGTTATTTTAAAAAATAACACTAAAACTCGTTTAAAATCACGTCCTTGTTTTCAGTTTTTGAAAAGCACGTAAAAAATGAATTCTACAGACGTAGAGCTTTCGAAAAATGTGTTTGTAATAATTCTGGAACGAAAAGTCGGGTGGCTAAAAATAAAAACCTGCGAAACAAAAAATGTTTTTCAGCTTTTTTCTATTATTCCAAAATAGCTTCCCCGCGGTCTGTAGAAATTGAAAAAAGTGTTATTACAAAGGATTCATTGTTTAGCAGGAGTATTATTTGTGCCACCTGATCATTGAATGAGAAAAATGAATCCGAATTAGCTGTTTGTGTCGTCCTTATCATTGATTGGTGGATGGAGGGTACATGAGGGGAAGAGTACCCTCCATCCCCCCACCCCACCCCACGTAACCACCCCACGTACTGTAGTATTGCATTTATAAAATATTACATTTAACTTTTACTGCTTCATAAACCTTAAAAGGCAGTCGGAACATTCAGGGCTTCGTCCTGATACGAGCAGTCTTGTTCTTTTCATCTTACTTTACTCGGCCACTTCGACTTCCGCAATCTCCCCTCGACCAGTTTCTTTAACTGCTTGCTTGCATTGTTTTCAGAGAAGTTTCTCTCTTCTTATCCGCGTCCTTGAGCTTTTTTTGTTGAGCAATGGCAGCTCTAAATTGCGCAGTTGAGAAGAGGAAGAATAACGCAAGCGGTGAGAGCAACCGGTCGAGGGAGATTGCGGAAATTAATGCAAATCAAGGAGGCCGTGTAAAACATGAATAATTATCGAAAAATCAAGAAAACTTAATGCATCAGATATAACGCCATATTTAAAGAGAAAAACAACCGCCTTGGCTAATCAATTTAAACTTGTATCAGAGAGACCAAGCTGGAAAAAACCACGATCGAAACGAACAGATACCTTGAGAAGAGTGTCGAGAAGGTAAAACGAACGTCGTGCAATTGTTAATTCCAATAGAAAAGATAGTCAACTTAATCTTACAAAGTTAGCATAGAGAGTGGTTAGAAACAGTATCCAAGGGTGACAGACTGTTCCAAGGACAAACACCTGCTAATCAATTAGTCTAGCACCAAGAGTGAACATTTGATTGACAGCTTCCGAAATGAACTCAATTACTCTATACAACACTTCCCCTTCGATAATGAAAACTTTAGTTAAGTAGAAATGATTTCGCTGGTTGACTTTAATGACTGAAATAGATGGTTGAAAATAGATGGTTGATTGATCATAGATGGTTGAAAAGAATTACTAGCTTCATATTTGGATACAATTTAGATTTTAATAATGACGACTTTTTAACAACTAAAAGATCACTGGTCAGTGATATCGATTGAGTTTTAAGCCACTAATGACTCACCCTCTCCCTGGGTTAGAACAGTTTAACGAAAGTTTTCTAAGTTTTATCGGTCACTTGTTTCCTTCCTTGTTTTGATTGATGAAGTCAATCATTACGCCCCCCCATTTTGGTGACCGCCGTTCTTTTGCGCCCGCTTCTTCTAGACGTCGTGGATGATGTCTCGTCCTGGCTCTCACCCTGGCTGCTGTATGAGACCAGCCTTGCTTTCTTGGATAAGGCTCCCTTTTTCTTGCTGGTGGTGATCGGTTTTGTTGGGTCCCCTGGATTTGACGTTCCTTGTTCCCCTGGATTTTGATTATCCAACTCGCCGCCTTGTTCCGGAATGGTGTCCTGGTCAGTTTCTACCTCGGCCTCTGGTAATGCTGTTGCTGAACGTTCTATACATGCTTCAGGGGTGGTAGTTACTTGCTGTTTGGCTCGTTTTACCGATATAATCGGTAGGTCCTCGCTGTCCTCTGACTCAGAGTCGGTCTCTTCGAATCGGCGCCCGGTCCTTTCCCGTTTCTTTTCCGCAATTCGTTGGGTTAATCGTTCCTTTACTTCGCGCGGAGTCGGCGGTGGTAATGTTGTTTGAATTGCTCGCTTTTTCACTTCGCTCAATGGTACCGGTACTACGGATTTGGCTGCAATTTT